CGAAAAAAACGCCGACCGGAGGGAGGGAGGGAGGGATGCCGGGGAGCCTCCAGGACTCACCCAGAAAATGGCGTTTCATTACATTCAACGCTGGTTTTCTGGGGGGAGCCCCGTCGGCTCCCCGGCACTAACTACCCACAGACGGAAAAAGAGGGACTTACCAGGGAGGCGGTCGTCGCTCACTCCTCAACTCGAAGCCGAGACAACTGGCTGCAACCGCCGACCCAAAGCAACACAGGCCCGACTGGGCCCAGGGACATTCACAAGGTAACGAGCAGCCAGGACCCTGTTCGACCACCAAAAGTCCCGCGCCCGAATATCAGAAAAGACATATTCCCAAAGACGGCAGCAAGAGCCGCGAACTTACGAATGTCATGGGCACGGGGATAGACCGCAGGCTGGCTGGACTTAATAACCCTGCGGACGACCTGGGAGACCCGAACCCACGAACAGGGAAGAAGGGAAACCGGATCAACCCACAGCGCGTCTCCAGACACAGAAGCCGTAGCGCGCAAATAACAGCGAAGCGCCGCAACCGGACACAAAACATGATGCACCCCCGGCCTGACCAACCAAGCATCAACCACCCATGGAGCCCTTCGGAACACAGCAGTCTCATTTCTCGCCAGAAAAGAAGGAGAAAGCTGGAGAAGAACAAAATGATCGCCCCGACCAAAGGAGCAGGAAACCCCAGCGCCGGAGGAGAGCATGAAGCTCACCAACCCGAGCCCCAGAGGCTAATGCCAACAGGTTAAGAGCCCCCGAGAAACAAACCGGAACCGAACGGGCCAAAAGAAACCGAGGAGAAGAAAAGAGAGCACCCAGTCCAACTACCAGGACAACTCAGACGGCGCATGAGCAGGCCGGAGGTGAACCAACGCACTAGACAGCTTGCAGAACGTCCCAGAAGTAACAGCAACACCAAAGGCATGCAGAAGCGGCTCCGCCAGCGCCGCACGAAACGAGGTGACAGTATGCAGCAAAATAAAGGCCCCGGACTTTCTTAAGAGAAGGACAAGACCACGCCAACAAAACACAGCTACCTAAGAAGGGACAGAAGGAAAAAGGAAGGACCGTCAAAATACCCCACACTGCCGCCAAGAAGAAGCATGCAGGTGGGACACCATCAATGAAGCCACTTGACCACCAAAAGAAGGCGGAACTCCAGACAGAGCCGAACCAGCCCCCGTCATGGACCAAAAGAGCTGTAGAAGAGGCGGAGCCGCGGGAAGATCTCGGGTGCAACCATCGAACAGGCAGAGCCGGAAACCCGAACCAGCAAAGGGGAAGATGGAATGTCTGCCGTACAGAAAAAACATCCCAATGCCAGCGAGCACGCCTGGAGGTCCGAAACCACGGCCCCGACTGAGATACGAAAGAAGGGACACCGCGAAATGCGGAAAAAGCCAACAGGCAGGGAAAGCCAGGAACCAGAAATCCAAACCTGGCAAAGGAGTGCCAAAAGGCAGCAAACGGGAACAAAAGGCACACCAACAACACACAGTCATTGGTCAGGTCCCAACCGAAAAATCAAATGCAAGGGATCAAACCAAAAAAGGTACAAGGGGCACCACCAAACCAGCACCCGAACCAAGGGGTATGAGCTAAGAGGAGACAATGGGAAGGAAACCGCACAACAGCGGGAGACAGAAGAACCAGAGGGGACCAAGAAACACCAGGGGCACACGTACCAGGGGACACAGGCGGAACGGATGCCCAATGAGTAAAAGAAATGTCAGGAGGATTCCAGCGTCAGAGTAGGAGACAAATGGAATGCATGAGGAAGGGATGTGCTGGAGGCAGACCCCGCACATAGTCGATTGCAGATACAACAGGCTCAGGAGGCTGGACCCAAGCTGAACGACAGGAGACACCAAAAACCCAGACCGCAAACCCAACGAGGGAAGCACAACAAGCACAGAGGCCCTGTAAATGGCAGGTGAGTGACAGAGGGGCAGGACTAAAGAGCCAAAACTTAACCCCTACAAGCACAATCAGGTGAAGACAACTAGGGGAGTAGAGAGAACCCAATGTACCTGGAAGGGCTAAGCCAGGCACTGCAAGGTGGGCAAGGCATGAGTGACCCAGAGAAGATCATCGTAACAAATAGCTCAGACAAACAAGGTAAGATTCCAAGGGTTAACAGACGTTAATCTCCTTGTTTGAGGAGCTGGGCACTGGAGACAGTTATGCAAGTCCCAGCTGCACCTGGGTACAAATGACAGGATGAACAACCCAGCAGGCTTCCCCTCCTATTGGGGAGTGTTGAACACGCCACTATGGCGGTATGCCCACTCACAGAATGAGTGGGCACACCGCCACAGCAGCACATAAGAAAATACAATATTTTTGCCCAATAAACTCGCCCCGGAGCAAAAAAAAAAAAAAAATTAGGAAGGCACCAGGAGGAAAACACACAAGGGCCAAACAAAATGCCACAACTAACCCAACACTCCTCAGTAACAAAACCGCATCAAAATGTCACCTAATAACATCCTGACACAATAACATGTACCTCATAACAGTCACCATCACCATTGTACCTTGTAACCTGGTGGAGGTGGAGCCTCAGGACTGACTCAAGCATGGGATGGACATGCACACAAGCGGGACTGGATGGGTACAGTGAGGAGCTGCCCCGCATTGGCCAAGAGGGCCCCATGAAGGTACTTGTGTTCTGCCGTTCTCACATTCATACCCCAAAGACCAAGAACCAAAGCCTGGCCGAAAAAGACGCCAGACCACATAAACTCACCTGCAGAACGTAGGCACGAACGTGTTATGACACAAAGTAGCCGAGAAGATTCCGGGAGCACCGCCAGAGGAGGAAGGCCAGAGTCACACATGCAGAAAGGGAGGGGAAAAGCGAAGGAGGGGCCCCACACCCATAACACGGGGAAAACTCCAGCGCCCTCCCCATAGCTGCAAGCCAGAACACCCCAGTAGCCACGGGGCATGGACTGGAGAATGGAGAAGAGCTAGAGGTGAAGCACCCAAGAGAAAAAGACGGAAAACACCAGCATTTGTGCACACCGCCCAGACCAAAACAAACCCCCATGGCACACAACCCGCTCGGCCGGAAGGCGCTAACTAGGACTACTTCACAAGAAAAGTAGCTAAAACAGTGGTGACCCGAAGAATTGCGCAGGAGCAGAAACAGCCCAGCGCATGGGAACAGGAGCCAAAAAAACAGGAAGCAGCGACATACATAGCAGGTGTACTCAATGATGACAAGGAATCTAACCGGCAACCCAATTGGGATACAAGTAGCCCAATCTGGCATCCTGGACAAGGAATATAGAAAGAAAACAAACAGTGCAGAGACCGAGCGTGGAGAAAAGATACAGGAACAAAATATCGAGACAGGGCTGAAAACTAAGAATAAGCCCGAAAGAGGACCAACAAACCCTAGAAAGAACCAGAGGGAAGCCACATCAAAAGACGACGGACATTCCAATAATACGGGAAGTAGCAAAAAACCTTCCCGGACCTTCGAGAACCACAGAAGCAAGCACAAATCACGAAAGCACACAAAAACACAGCCGCACCTGAGACCAAAAGTCGTGCAGAACCCCATGAAGAGGGGAACATGACGGGGAAGTCCATTCCCAAGAAGAGGGGGTGGGGGAGAAATGGAAAAGAGCAACCGCTAACAGGACAGAACCAACGGACTCGAGGGACAAGGAAACGAGGCCGGGGAGGGGCCGACGCCCAACAACTCGTACGGAGAGGGGAGGATGGAAAAACCCCACTCCGCGGAACCGCAAGCCCCGCTCCGAGGGTAGAACAACCCCGGCAGGGTCCAACGGGGCCCCGAGGCCCACCAAGGCAGCCCCCCTCAGCCCTGGGGCCAAGTCGTCCCCCCAAAGCCTTGGGATTGTTTTGTTTCCTTGGGATTGTAGGGAGTTTCTACCTCTCTTTGTTTTTTTGTTTTAGTTTCTAACCATGTGGGGTTCGTTTTGTTATTCCTACCTTTCTGGGTGCATAACCCCGGTCGATGGCAGATAAGGAAAAACCCCAACCACAAGGGAGTTTTGCAGGGCCATTGCTCCCTGAAACCTCTCTGAAGGGGCCAGGTTCTGGCTTTGGTCCCTGGTAGGTCTGAACTCCATAACTAATGTCCCGGTCTAATATAAAGTACCTTAGCCCGATAAGCTCTAGGGGCTTAGAGCCCCCATAGGGGCTCCCCACAGAAAGTACAACTTATACAAAATCTATATGCAGACGAGGAGTCACAATAACGTGGCTGAAATATGTTGACCAAACCACACACTAGAAAGTGAAGGGACGACAACGTTTCGGTCCATCCTGGACCATTCTCACAATCGACTTGAGAATGATCCAGGATGGACCGAAACATTGTCGTCCCTTCACTTTCTAGTGTGTGATTTGGTCACTATACAAAATCTAATCCAGAATCTCTAGTATCATGTGCACTAAATACCAAGAAAAATCACTGATATTTTGAAGACTAAAGTTCTTTGACCGTAAAACTAAAGTGAAAGAGGGTTTTTTTGCGTAGTTGAGGACAGGAAGATTGTTAGGTGTATCAAGGATCCCTAGACTGACGACTGACGTTTTCTAGGATGGAACCCACACAGCTGCCTAACTCCTAGGTACCTATTTATTGCTATGTGAACAGAGGCTCAGTTGAAGGGGAACACTGCCCAAATGCTTCTGTCATTGCCTGGGAATTGAGCCCCGAAACCTTTTGGCTATGAATGACGATGCTGTTTGTAGTGGTACAGGAACAGCTTAAACATACAAGATGAAAGAAAGAAACCAGTGAAAGGATGAGTGATCCAGGAAAAGCTAGAGATTTCCAAAAGCAAATCATGGTTGTAAGCTGTATGGTTTGCTATGGTATTAAATGTAATTACCTAACTGTAATTACCTAAGTGCACTTACATGATAATTTGCACAGACCATTATATTACACTCCTGAAAGCATATCCCATATTTCTTACACTAATGACTGATAACAAAGCCTGTTTGCTTACTTTCTAGTTGTATATGTAGTGGTGCCAGTTGTGAAAGTGGTACAGAGGTAATGCTACCATCATCAATAATGGTCACAGCGTGGCTCAGTCCTGTTCCATCTACTTCCTCAACACATTCTAGTCCTCCACTAGTTTCCTCTGCATGACCAAGATCCTCATCACTTCTGCTGTTGTCCCCAACAGTAACTTCCATGTCAGTGCTCGGACTTTCTCTGTGTCGATGCACTAACCATTCTGCTACGGACACTCCTGAAAAGAACTTTATTATATTATAACCACACTAACATATATGTAATCTAGCTAAATGCAGCATAAAATAAATCCAGGGTGGAAAGTAATGAAATGTCTTTTTCTGGAGAAGCTCCATACTAAAAGATCACATCAGTCACAGAAGTTTGTTTGGCCTATTTGACCAGGGACCAGGCCAGAGCCTTGCCCCCTTCCCTCACAGAGGTACATGGAGCAAGTAATAATCCACCACTCTACTATAAAAAACTAGAAAGTCAGCAAAGCTCTGCTGACAAATCGAGGGTTCACAGAAAATGAAGCCTTCAAATCACTAAACAATTCCACAAACAATTCGCACAGAACAAGGGACTCGCTCAAATTGGCTAAAAAAAATTGTTAGTACCAAATATCACCACCAGGAAGTCTGATCCAAACCCTTAGCAAGCTTTCCCGGACAGTTTTGGAGATGATGAAACAAGAAACCTGAAGGCAGGAGACGCACCAAGAAGGCACCAGGGCTCCTCCAGAAAGAGGCATTATATTACATTCAATTCTGGGTTTCTGGAGAAGCCCCCAGTGGCTCCATGAAGCTACAGTAATTAAAAAAAAAAAAAAAAAAAGGGACATATCAATGAGGAGGAGAAGCAGTAGGCACTAGGATAAAGAAGAGAACCCAGGCCAGGATTCCTGCCCCATGACTGACCATGACCAGGAACACTGACTAAATACCAGGATGTCAGAGCCCTATTAGAACACCAAAACCCTCAAGCAAGAATATCAGCCCAGGACATGTTGGAGAAGACTGCAGCCAAAGCTGCATATCTGCAAGCATCATGGGCCTGAGGGGTATATCACAGGCTGGTTAGACTTAATGACGCTGAGAACGACCCAAGAAATGTGAACCTAGGAAAAGGGAACCAAGGAAAGAGGGGTCAACTAGCAAGACATCCATTGAGAGAGAGAAATGGTGGCATGCAGGTAGCAGCATGAAACCACCACTGAATACAACAAATGATCTTCTTCTTGAGGTTATCTTGAGATGATTTCGGGGCTTAGCGTGCCCACGGCCCGGTCCTCGACCAGGCCTCCTTTTTGTTACATACCCCCCAGGAAGCAGCCTGTAACAGCTGTCTAACTCCCAGATACCTATTTACTGCTAGGTAACAGGGGCATCAGAGTGAAATAAACATTTTGCCCATTTGTCCTCTCTTCCACCAGGGATCGAACCCGGAACCTCAGGACTACGAATCCGAAGCGCTGTCCATCCAGCTGTGTTTACTAGTTGTGTTTTTACGGGGGTTGAGCTTTGCTCTTTCGGCCCGCCTCTCAACTGTCAATCAACTGTTTACTAACTACTTTTTTTTTTTTTTTTTTTTCCACACCACACACACACACACACCCCAGGAAGCAGCCCGTGACAGCTGACTAACTCCCATGTACCTATTTACTGCTAGGTAACAGGGGCACTTAGGGTGAAAGAAACTTTGCCCATTTGTTTCTGCCTCGTGCGGGAATCGAACCCGCGCCACAGAATTACGAGTCCTGCGCGCTATCCACCAGGCTACGAGGCCCCCGAGCTGTCAGGGACCCTATGAGCCCATCATGTACCCCTTAGCTGAATGTACAAAACATAAACCACCAAAGGACCCCTTCAGAAGCCCGCCAACTCCTCTGCCAGAGAAACAAAATTGAATGCAATGAAATGTCAATTTCTTAGTAAGCCCCAGTGGCTTCCTGAAGCTATATGCTAAGGAGGTTATCACTTACTGGGTCACATCAGCTATGGCGTTCTAAAGGCCTATCATGGAACGGAGCCATAACCTGGCCCTCCCCTCTCACAGAGGGGCAGGTAGCAGCGACATTTGTATTTGCCATTTCACCAGGAAAGGCAACCAGAAAGTCAGCAAGACAAAGCAAACTACTGATGGATTTAAGAGAGCTGAAACCTCGAAACCCGCAATAAAAACTTCCCAACTATGTAAACAAATGATCGAATTCTCCTGGAACTAGTGCGAGCTTGTTTACATCCACCTTCTCCACCCATATGGGGAGAGGGAGGAGGTAACTCACTGCCTGCTGGGGTCTGAGCTCCCACCTCTTGAGCAGATGTAGGCATCCACTCAAAAACTTGGAAAGGAGGGAGAGGATCAGGGAGCCACTGGCTCACCCAGAAATTGGTGTTTCATTACATTCATCATTGGTTTTCTAAGGGAAACCCATTGTGGCTTCCTGAAGCTAGCTACTGTTACGGTTCCCCATCCTATATATTTCCCCTGTGCCTGCAGTAAGAGTCATATCTCTATTACCTATACATTCTCTGATGCCCAGGGAACAATTTGGTATATGTAAAGGATAGCCTGAGTTGTTGTGTGGAGATAAATTTACAGTTTTATTTTGGTTTTGAATGTGGCTTAGGCCTTTCTACCAGAACAAATATGGCAATGGGAGGAGAGATTCCCGCTGGAGGAAGCCAGGATGCATTGCATTGTGGGAGCAGTGCCAGCTGCCTGGTGGTTGGTCAGTGCAGGTCATGTGACAATGTTGACCAATGGGGCCGTGCCCCAGGGCATGACAATGCCTCAAAACGTGGATTATGTAGCATCAGTTATTACCACAGACGTCAAGGAAAGCTTGTCAACTTCAAGGGAGCATAAGTAGACATAGCTCAGCTGGTGAAATGGACGCCGGGAGCTAGAGGCCGACAAGTTCTACGACAATGTGTGCGGGCATTAGGAGGGAGGCTGACGGGACGAGAGTCTAGTCCACTGTGCGGTGTAGGGACACCGTGAACGAGACCACTGGGACGTGTCAATGAGTTCACTTGTGTAAGGGAGGAAGATGTGAGCAGTGCCAGCCTACAGTGTCAGAAGAAGGATCTGCAGCGAGAGATTTGGACGTGAAGATGACGTGCTAGCTATGAGTCTGCGACTATTTGCAGCAGAGAGAGAGTCAAGGTAGATAATCTTTCCCTCCCCATTTCCCTTGAGTTAGGTGAAGTTAGTTCATCATTATCATCATTACTATTCGTTCCCTGTTCCAGAGCTTGGGTCTCCCAGGTTATTCGCAGGGTTATTAAGTCTAGCCAGCCTGTGGTCTATCCTCGCGCCTATGACATTCGGAAGTTTGCAGCTTTGGCTGCAGTGTTTGGTAACATGTCTTGGGTTCATATTCGGGCGCGTAGATTTTGGAAGTCGAACAGGGTCCTGGCCGCCCGTTATTTGGTGAACGTCCCTGCTCCTCGGCGTTCTTGTGTTGCTTTGGGTCGCAGGTTGCAGCCAGTTGTCTCGACTTCGCGTTGAGGAGTTTGTGGCCGCCGCCTCCCAGGTAAGTCCCTAATTCCTTCTCTTTGGGTATGTAGCTCCAGGGAGCCATAGGGGCTCCCCACAGAAAACCAGCGTTGAATGTAATGAAACGCCATTTTCTTGGTGAGCCCCGGAGGCTCCCTGCCTACCCCTCCCTCCCATCCGGTCGGCGGGGTTTTTCATGTTGGTTGAAGCCTAGTTTCTGAACTGAAGGCAGCCGGTGTGGTGAGGTCCGGGGCCCTCCCTCCCCCTCTCGGGGGGGGAGGGGGGGGGGGGCTACGCGGATGACCGGCGCGGCAGTAAATTGATTGTTTGATTGTTCTTTGGGATTGTAGGGAGTTTTCTACCTCTCTGTTTGGTTTTTGTTGTAGTTTTTACCATGTGGGGCTTGTTTTGTTATGCCTACCTTTCTGGGTGCCTGACACGAGTCGATGGCAGATAAGGAAAACCCCCAACCATAATGGAGGTTTCCAGGGCCATTGCTCCTTGAAACCTCTCTGAAGGGGCCAGGTTCTGGCGCTGGTCCCTGGTAGGTCTGAACTCCATAGCTAATGTCCCGGTCTAACATAACATACATTAGCCCGATAAGCTCCAGGGAGCCGTAGAGGCTCCTCACAGAAAACAATGAGTGAAAGAGAGAATTACAGACCAAAAGGGACCCGTAAAATGAGAAAAAGAAAGAACAGTAAAAATACGGTACGGAGATCAAGTATGCTCAGGCAGCGCATGAGCAGGCAGAAGGTGAAGCAAGGCATGAGACAGTATTGCATAATGGAGCCAAGATAGTATCAACACAATACAAGCTGCAGCAACTCTGCCAGCACCACATGAAATGAGGCAACCCTATTTACTGATCACTGATCTGAGAAGCTGATCACGAAAAAGCCAGTGAAATCATATCTTAGGAGACAACTAAATGAAACAGCTCTGAAATAAAGGTAAATCAAGATTATCCAACTCACCTTGTTGACTTTTGCAATTCCTAGCATGATTTCTCAACACTGCAACAGAGGACATCAAAGTGCCACACTTTTCACAAGACACTGGTGAATCTTGACTTTGACTATTTTCACCTGAAGAAAATACAATGTATTAAGTTAATATCTATTAAGTAAAATGTCTACACAAAATTAAATATGTAAATGAAACAGAAAATATTAAATTTGTCGTTATGTTTACCTGAGGGTCCCATCTCGATGATAACAGTAAGTCAATTCCTTGTCAAAGATCCCCCCCTCACCCCTACCCACCCCATTATTCCTGATGATTTTTTCAAAATAGATTTAAAATTTAAATAATGTTTTGGCATTTATAGCTGTTCCATAGGTTTATAACCCAATAGGTGAAAAAGCCTTTCCTGTTTTCTATACTACATCATGGCTTGTTTAGCTTGAAGCTGTTGTCCCTTGAATGCATTACATTTGACCTTTTAACCCCTGCAATGTGCACATGTTAAATGTGACACTCCTGTGATGTGTGTGAAATACCAGCGTTGAATGTAATTAAACGTCGTTTTCTGGGCGAGACTCAGAGGCTCCCTGGAGCTATCCAGGCTGATATCAATATATATTAGATTTTTGCCATCAGTCAATGTGCATGGAGCTCTAGGCTTACCGGGGACCACGAGCCAGAACCTGGCCCCCTCAGAGAGGCATGAGGAGCAATGACCTATAGAAACCCCTGTGTAGTTGGAAGCATTCTATATCTGCCATCGACTGGGTCAGGCACCCAGAAAGGCAAGCGCCCCAAAACAAACCCCTATTCTGGGTAAAACATTGTGAAAAAGAGCTGCACAAGTAGACAGAACTCCCCCAAATGAAAATAAGCAAACTAGCACGATGTCACCACGTTGTCGCACCGCTATTTACGCAATCCCCCACCCCCCCTCCCAGGGAAGGGGTAGGGGGAGCACCAGACCTTCATGCTGGCTACCCACCCTTTAGTTTTAATGCTGAATGTCAAAAATGCAAAAAACAAGCATTCAATGTAATGAAACGCCATTTTCTGGGTGAACCCCGGAGGCTCCCCGGAGCTTATTGGGCTAATGTATGTTATGTTAGACCGGGACATTAGCTATGGAGTTCAGACCTACCAGGGACCAGCGCCAGAACCTGGCCCCTTCAGAGAGGTTTCAGGGAGCAATGGCCCTGGAAACCTCCATTATGGTTGGGGGTTTTCCTTATCTGCCATCGACCGGGATCAGGCACCCAGAGAAGTAGGCATAACAAAACAAACCCCACATGGTAAAAAACTACAACAAAAAAACGAACAGAGAGGTAGAAACTCCCTACAATCCCAAGGAAACAATCAAACAATCAATTTACTGCCACGCCGGTCGTCCACGCAGCCCTCCCCTACTCGGGAGGGGGAGGGGGGCCCTGGACCTCACCGCGCCAGCTGCCTTCAGTTCGGAAACTAGGCTTCAACCAACGCGAAAAACCCTGCCGACCGGATGGAAGGGAGGGTAGCCAGGGAGCCTCCGGGGTTCACCCAGAAAATGGCGTGTCATTACATTCAACGTTGGTTTTCTGTGGGGAGCCCCTACGGCTCCCTGGAGCTACATACCCAAAGAGAAGGACATAGGGACTTACCCGGGAGGCGGCGGCCACAAACTCCTCAATGCAAAGTCGAGACAACTAACTGCAACCTGCGACCCAAAGCAACACGAAAACGCCAAGGAGCAGGGTCATTCAAATAACGGGCGGCCAGGACCCTGTTCGACTTCCAAAATCCATGTCCGAATATGAGTCCAAGACATGTTACCAAACACGGCAGCCAAAGCTGCAAACTTCTGAACGTCATGGGCGCGAGGATAGACCGCAGGCTGGCTAGACTTAACCCTGTGGACAACCTGGGAGACCCGAGCCCTGGAACAGGGAACGAGGGAAACCGGATCAACCCAAAGCACATCCCCAGCCACCCCAGCTGAAGCTCGCAGGTAACGGTGAAGTGCTGCAACCGGACACAACATATGATGCACCCCCGGCCGACCAACCAAGCATCAATGACCCACGACCCCTCCGGAAAGCAGCCGTCTCATTCTTCGCCAGAAAAGATGGAGAAGGCTGCAAACGGACAAACCTACCCACAGGACCAAAAGAGCAGAAACCCCTGCGCTAGAGGAGAGCATGAAGCTTCCCTACCCGGCCCCGAGAGGCCAATGCCAACAAAAACAAGCCTTGGAAAAACAATCCGGAACTGAAGGGGCCACCACAAACCAAGGAGAGGAAAGATGAGAGAGCACCCAGTCCAAAGACCAGGACGGCTCAGGAGGAGCATGAGCAGGCTGGAGGTGAAACATTGCACGGGAAAGCTTACGAAACGGGGCAGATGTGACGTTCACCCCGAACGCTAGCTTGAGCGGCTTAGCCAGCGCCGACACGATACGAAGCAACAGTATTAGGCATCAAATGACGGTCCTGAAAAAGCCAAGAAAGAAAGGACAAGACAACCTGATCCGAAAGAAGAGACAACCTACGAAGAGCCAGAAAATGGCGAAAAGAACGCCAGGAAACTTTATACTGTCGCCGAGACGAAGCTCTCAGGTGGGACACCATCAATGAAGCCACCTGATCACCATAGAAATCGTGATACACCCGCGTCAAAAAGACCAGACGCGAAGAGCAGAGGAGAAGTTCGAACCAGCCCTGTACCAAACTGGGCCGACCTCCTGAAAGAGGCGGAGCCGCGGGAAACATCCCGGGTTCGGGCACTGAGCCAAGAGCAACGGAAACCAAGGCTGGGCCGGCCACAAAGGGGCCACAAGGACTACTCTCCCTGGGAACGTCTCCAATCGAACCAGAACCCGAAGTAACAGCTGGACCGGGGGAAAGAGGTACAGGTAACCCTGCCTCGACCAGTCCTGCTGAAAGGCATACACCACGAATGCCTCGCAGTCGGGGAAGAGCGTCACATAGATTGGGAGACGCCGAGACCACGCCGACGAGAAGAGGTCCACATCTTGGAGACCGTATGTCTGGCAGATTCAACGAAACAAGTCGTCGTCGACCGTCCACTCCGTGGACAGGGGATGGAAGCATGACAGACTGTCTGCCAGAACGTTGGACACTCCCGGACATGAACTGCACGGAGAGCCAAACCCCGAGAATCCAGCAGACGAACCACTCGAAGAGACTAACCCCAAAGAGCCAAGGACCAAAGAGAACCCCCGCGGTTCAGGCAATGAACCACCGGAGAACAGTCCAAATGGAGGCGAATGGTCGATCCCCGAGTGACCCAAACCCTCCGAAGCGCGAGCCAGACTGCCGCGAACTCTCAAACCGTGCTGTGAGCCCGACGGAAGAATGGACCCCACCGTCCCTGGCCTGCCTGGTGAGCACTGGTCACAAAGCCCCAGCCAAGAGACGACCCATCTGTGAACACACCGAGCGATGGCTCGGGAAGGCGCCAAAGCACCGAACCCCGAAAACCCTGAAGAGGAAGCCGATGACGCAGCAACCGACACAAGGCCCCCAGAGGACGAACCCAACGATCGCGAGCGAGGCGGAAGGGACGTCCCCGAAGGAATCAAAACAGACGCCGAAGCCAAACCCGACCAGACGGGTAGACGAGCACGGCGAAGTTCAGACTCCCGCACAACCGCTCGAGCAACCGCCGAGTGATCCGGGACACCCTCAGAAACAGCCGACGGCTGTCCCGCAGCTGCAACAACGCCTCTGGAGGGAGAGACAAGGAAGCGGTCCGAGAATCCAAAACAAGACCCAACCAGGTCCGAACCTGGGACGAAACCAGATGGGACTTCCTCCAGTTCACCAGGAACCCAAACCTGGTGAGCTGGGAAAGAACCATATCCCTGGCGAGCAGACAAGCTGACCAACTTGGAGCCCACACCAGCCAGTTGTCAAGGTAGGCCAAAACCCGAATCCCTAGAAGACGCAGACGGGTCACCACAACCCGGGTCAGACACGTGAAAACGCAAGGTGTCAGATTCAAGCCAAAAGGTAGGCATCGAAAACGGTAAGTGTGACGCCCCACCACGAAACCTAACCAGTCCCTGAACCCTGGATGAATAGGAACATGCCAATAGGCGTCCTTGAGGTCCAGGGATACCATCCAGGCACCCGGCTGCAACAGAAGCCGGACCTGAGACAGAGTAGTCATCCGAAAGGAGGGGCAAGGAATCCAGGGGTTCAGACGGGACAAGTCCAGAATGAACCTCAGATCCGCACAGTCCCATTTCGGTACTGGAAACAGACGGGAAACCCACCTGAGAGACGAAGTCGTTTCGATCACACCCAAGTGCACCCACTCCAAGATGACTTGACGAAGCGCAGGAGAGGAAACCTGCCCTGTTAGCCCCGAACCACCCAAGGGAGGACGAGTCGCCCAACGCCACCGCAGGCCGGATGACACGACCGAAAAGGCCCACAAATCATGGGACCAAGCATGAGCAAACAGAGCGAGCCTCCCCCCCCATTGCCCCGTCAACGGGGCGAACCACAAAAATGCCGACGCCCCTTACGAGAACCCAAATGTCGAACAGGGCGATCACCGCGCCGACCAGACGACACCGGCCCCGAAGGTAACAACGGCTCAGAAACTGGCACCAATAGCCCACCTCGACCAGTGGAGCCCTGGGGCCGGATTCAGGAAGGTACTTACGAAGGTTTTTCCTCTTAGCTAAGAGCGTTTTCTGTCTTAGCGCCTTCGTGGCGGCTACGTCCGTATTCAAGTAACTACCCTAAGTGGAAAAATCTTCGTAAGTTCATTCCGGGATTTAAGTGTGGTTTCGACCACTCGTAGCTTTACGTAAACTGGATATAAGTCATTTTTTCTCTACTACATAACACTGGGATCGATTTATGATATTGGAACATGACCAAAATATTATAGCTGGTGAATCTAGTGGAGAGGAGTCCTTCGTGTTAGTTATATATGCATTCTCTGCTTGAAACTTGAAGTAAATATGTGTTTGATGATAGTAGAATTAGTTTTATAATAGCAAGATATTATACCAGTAGTTATTAAGTAAATAAACACTGGTGAACATGAAATATGAGAGAAGGTGATGAGCCCTGCCTGATGGGATCATTTACTATCACCAAATGCCCCT